GGGGTTGCTCTAGGGGCTTTAGGGTTTAGGGCTGAGGGTTTAGGGTTTAGGGTTTAGGGTATAAGGGCTTGCGATAATAAGGGTAACTATCGACCATCGGGTTCCTATAGAATGCTTCCATAAGCTTTAGGGTGCTATAGGGGCTTGCTATAATAAGGGTAACTATCGACCATCGGGTTCCTATGAAATGCTTCCACAAGGTTCAGGGTTTAGGGTTTGGGCTGGGCCGTTTATGGCTTCTCAGGAGCCCGTCCTGCTTCGTAGCCTGGTAGAAGTGGCTGTTCCATGGTGTGCTGTGCACGCTTTCCACGTCGGTTCTCTATGGCCCGGTTCTCTAGTTTGTGTGAGTCCCGATAGTAATTTGGAATTTCAGCCTACAGGGTTTAGGAGTTACCACACGCTTTAGGTCTTGGTGATCAAGCTGTGAGAAAGTCGTGGGCCCTTGAGTGCAAAGGTTGCATGTTCAAGTGTGTTTTTGGTTATGGTAGTTTGTCAAAAGATGACAGGAAGCCTCGCTTTCTTCTTGAAGATGTCCCGGATGTAGGCTCAGAGATGCGGGCAGTAAATCTCATGAAAACAGTGGCTACAATATTAAGACTGACCATAGTAATTATAGCAATAGTGGTAGTAATAATGATAGTATCATACACATATATCTATTCATTTATACATCTATATATATATATATGTTGCCTAAGAAGACTTACCAAGTGCTATTCCTTTGGGCTCGTCCCTTCTTTGCTATAACCGATATACTCCAAACCCCTACTCCAATCATGAAGGCCCCTGTATTTGAGTCCCTGGCTTTTGCAGCTACCACCGGTGGTTGGGGGCAACAGGCACGAGCATAGCCCGAAAAGTGTTGAAGCCTGAACCTAACACCTAGAGCATCCTGGAGCAAGAGGGCCCCGTAGCTTTGTAACCCTGAGCCCTTATCCCGAAGCCCTTTACCCTGCACCCATCCTCGAAGGTCTTGGGGGCTTCTGCAAAATCCCACACTCCAGACCCGACATAAACCCACCACCCAACCTTAAACTCCAAAAGAGACCTTTCAAACCCCTAGCCCCGA